TCCAGCCTCTCAAAATTACATATTTTACTTTTTTTCTGCTTTCTCTGGAATCTGGAGAAGCCAGATGTGCTTGCTGGCAGGTAGACAATGTTTTGGAGCAGTGTTTTCTGCTGCATATGAACTTGAGTAGCATGGCTGAGGAATGCAGTTTTGTAGCTTGCCACTGCAGTAGTGCAGAAAGCAGCACACCAGCAGTGCTGTGCCTGGATAAAGATGACTTTCATAATCACCTGATCTGTTCTGACCTCGATTTCTTCTTCAATTGAAAAATTTATTAAAATATATCATCTAGAAAGTGGTGGTGGAATTGATGTTAGGGGAACAGTTCTAGGTATCTGGATTCATACATAAGGAAGTAGTCTGCCTCTGACTCTGAACTTCATAGGTGTTTCTGAAGACAGGAAATCCAAAAATGCATGTCTCAAATAATCAGCTGAAAAAGGAGGAGATCCACTGGGCTATCTAGACAGTAATTGCATATTGAATTGTAACTCAGTTCCTCAAACACTTAGGGTAACTGGCAGCAAATGTTTTTCACAAGTTTTTTTCAGTCTATGCATGATGGAAAAGGAGCAGAAAATGTTTCTTTTGAATATTTATTAAAAGACTTGGGGAAAATGGTGGGTATCCTCCAGTGATAGGTGTAGATATGTAAAAGGCTGAGAGTTTGCTGGAGAGGGATTCTCAGGAAGGCAGTAAAATTTAAAAAGCTTTGTTGTGCTGCAAAGCAGGAGCTCTGCAAGAAGTGCTGCAAAGCGCTACTGGTGCATTGCTAGAGCCAGACTGGCACCTGCAGCTTCTGAACCTTCTGGAATAATACAGAGGAGAAAACTTTCGTGAGTGCCTTGGCAATTAGATGGTCAGTAAAAGGGGAAAGAACATTGCTGTATGACTTCACATTTTGGAGGAAGACCAAACCCATGAATACCTGGGTCCAGGAAGGTTGCTGAAATGTTGTGTCCGTATAAAGAGTCTGGATTCTGTTGATGTGGCTGACCTTTTTTTTGGATCATCGACCACGCTTATCATCAGCCTGACATAATGGCCACAGCAGTGCAAATCCTGCTGAGTCATGTACTGTGCCCATTTAGGATGTAAAACAAAATGGATTGTCTGCTCGCCATTCTCTGGAGAGCGAGGGGAGGGAGGCAGAGCCGCGCGGCGTTGACTGGTTTCTACAGTTACGCTTCTGTAGCAGAAGGAAACATTAAGTGGTTGAAAGCATCTGAAAATAAAGGCACACCATACTGTTTTCTCATCTAAAGCTGAAGGTAAATAAGGCCATGAATAGGACTTTAGGATGTGTGAAACCTTTTCCAAAGGCTGAAATTCTTTATTAGTGTTAACTACTTATTTGGAGGTGAAAGTTACGAATACTGGTGATTTTGCAGTCATAACATCCAAGTTCCAAACTCACTGGTATCCTGTTGTGATAGAAGTTACAGATACTCCATAAAAGGTTGTTTGCCCCCAGCTATGATAGAATTGTTTTGGTTGGAAAAGACCTTCGAGGTCATTAAGTCCAACCATTAACTGAACACTGCCAAGTCCACCGCTAAACCATGTCCCTCAGCACCACATCTACAATTTAGATCAAAGTCAAGAAGAAACAAGGTGAGCAGCTGGGGAGGAAGACAATGGTAAAAACACAGCAGTGCTGATGATGGGCAAAAGGTGTTGGTGATGGGAAGGGGGAATTGTGTCTGTTGTGAGTTTTGCAGTGGTGGGAGGGATGAGAGGATTGTATGATATTGGGGTTTTCTGTTCGAGTATTCTGCTTGTATGAAGGGAGAACATCCCATCCTTGCAGAATGCAAAGGTGCTTACAGATTATTCCAAACAGGTCAGGAGGCCAAGACTAGCAACAGTGATGAGGGGTGTTTTTTATTAGGAATTTCTAAGGTAGAATTCAGCTAATTGAAGGGGGAAGCTATTTCTCAGGGAAGCACGATGCCCATCCAAGGTGTACTTGCCTGCAAAGCAGTGTGCTTGTCCAACCTGCTGGGCTCTTTTCACTGTCAGCTGCACTGAGAAGCATTATCAAAAAGTTTGGTTTAATGGAAATTATCTTTCCCCTATAATTTTCAGAAAGTGAGGCTGTGGTAGTGGGTCAATTGTAGAGCATTCGAGACAGCACCGCATTTGTTTGACAAAATAAATGGTGGGGTAGCACAATAGGATATAGTGCTTGTTACCACAATGGGAAAAAAAACCCTCCAAAATAGCCTAAAAATGCTGCAAAGAGAAGGTCACAGAAAAGGCAGGCTGAGGATAGATCATCTGTGCAGGAACCAAAAGATGAACAGGGTAAAAAGTGAAGTAGGAAACACTCTAAAAGGAGGAGAAATGGAGAACAAATTGAGAGAGAAAGAAATGTGGAAAATTTCAACATGTAGAAGAATTAATTTAGGTAAAATTTTACTTTGGGTGCCATCTCGTTTGTGTGCATAATTTATATTTTACTGTGAACTTAGTAAGAAGTTGTATAAAGATTGCATCATAGGATCTCAAAGTAATTAAAGGCTGATGATTATCTGTAGGACCTGTCATAGTGACAGTGCCATGCACTTCAGCACTGTTCACAAGGATCATCCATTGATTGCAACCTACCAGGTTATCTCAACACATTAAAAAATATAAAATAAAATAAGCTTACTGCCAGTCAGTCTTTTTAGCATGTATTATTTAGTTAATTAGTAAGCTGAAGTGCTTCTGAACATGTTGTTTTACAGAACTCCCTCTAGGTCACCACCTGAAGCATGTAGTTATCTTGACATCCTTCCTCCTGAAACCTTCATTGGTGACAGGAGATAAGAATCCTATATCCATCAAGAGATGTTGCAGGGCAACTTTGATAGGGCCAAGATTTTTGGCTGCAGAAGCCAAGGGAATATCAGGAAGAATGAATGGCCTGTTTCACCTGGTACCTGAAGGTTGTTAGGTGGCTTCCTCTCCATTACCTTTAGAGATTCTGCTGCTTCACAGGTTGGATCTGTGGGTTGATGAATAAAAATTCCAGAATCTGAAAGGAATGGGAGTTTTCAGTTTGCATTGACTTTGAGTTGTAGGGTGATTGAAGAAGGATAATAAATCTTCGGTTAAGACCCAGCTATCTTAATATATTCCCATAGACATCCAGCTCATCTTTCTTTTCTAATTTGAAAGGAATTTCGTCTTTTTTCATTGTTTCCCAATTAATATTAGTATTTTGCTTTATACTTGAAATGCATCCCAATCGACTACAATCCATGTAAATCCAAAGAGGGAAGAACTTCCTCACGCACAGTTTCTCCACTCAAAAAAGCCTTTATTGCCTTTTTTAAATTGCTCAAGCCGAGAGGCCCAGAGTTAAGATTCTCACTGGATCATCAATAATTTATTTAATTGTTAATAAATGTTAGTGATTGCTAGTTACTAATTTCTGTTAACTGTAACTATATGTGTAACTCCTGTCCTGCTGTTCTGGTTTGGTTTGGTGGGTTTTTTGGTAGCAGGGGAAGGACCACAGGAGTGGCTCCGGTAAGAAGCTGGGAAGCTCCCCCTGCTCCAAACCCAGCCAAGGAGCCATTAGAGGGACAATAGATGTGCCTCAGCGATTAACATAAGAAAGAACAGCTATAACACCTGAGCAGAGAAGCACTTGGGGGAGAAGAGCTGTGCTGGGGAAAGAGAGCAGTGCTGGTGGTTGGTGAGGAAGAAGTACAAGAAGGTGCCCAAGCAGAAGTTTACCTGCAACCCATGGCGAGATGGCAGAGTTTCCCCCTGCACTCATGGAGGAACATTCTGGAACATTCCCTGAAGGTGCCAGGAGGGGTGAACTTGGCCAGTGGACTTGGATTTTGTGGCCAGAGGATTTGCTGCCTGTGGACTCTGATTGCACAGCTTTGGAAGACCCCGGTGCCAGGGGAGTTTGTTCCCGAAGGAGCCCGTGACTCTGTGGGAAGCCCAGGCTGGAGCAGGTTGTTCCAGACCTCGTGGGAAGGACTCATGAAGGAGAGGTTCATGGAGGATTCTCCCCCATGGAAGGGACCCCGTGGGGAAGCAGGGAAGGACTATAAGGAATCCTTCCTGAGGAGGAAGGAGCAGCAGGAACCACCAACCTGTGAACTGACTCTAAACCCTATCCCCATCCCCCTGTGCCACTGGGGGAAGGAAGAAGAGAGACCGGGAACAAAGTGATTTGGGCCCTAATTCTACTTAGAATTATCTTACAGGAGCAGTAAAAAAGTTTTGTAGAAGTAATTAGCCACTAGGTTACACATAAATGGACTGTTATGTTAGTGAGTGAGATCAGAAAACCAGAGCTGCTGGGTTGCATCTGAGCTCTCATAAAAGCATTATCTGGCCTCCCACATCACTGGCCTGAATTCAGGGGACGTAATGACATTTTAAGACTTAATTTTGTAAGTCAACATTGGACTTAAACCACATTTTAAGTGCATGACTCAGGCCAGCCATCCATTCCTGAGTGTTTGGCAATGCTTGTCACCAGCCTTTCCGTCTTTCTTAGATGATCCCAGACTATCTGCTCGTGTGGAATTAGTTAGCACAACACAGTGAATTTGTGAAAGAAAATAAAAAACACATTTATGTCTATCTTAACACTGTTTTCCCTTGGCTTTGCCCATAATAAACAAAAAATGTCCTTTGTTCTTCCCCTTCCTGCCCGTCAAAACACAGCACCTGTGTTGAGAAGACCTTGTCAGTAAGTCTAAGAAATCCCTTAATTGGATGATTGCCCCTTGATTTAATTCCTGGTAGGAACACCAAACAATTGGTTTATTTCCTAATCTTGCTTACTTTTCTTGAACTACTTTCATTTTTCCACCACAGGACTGTGTAGTTTCTGTAGTAGTTTCTCGGGTATGGTACAATGTAACTGGATATTTCTGAATATTCTAGTATTACACATTTTTTCACTCTTCTCTGTTATCTGATTGCACATGTTACCCTGCTCTCTGTAACAGCCAACTCATTTTTGTCATTCTTTTCAAAACCAGAAATCACCTGCAAAGAAGCTGAGCCATGCAATTAGTAAATCACTTGGTTGTGTACCAAGCAGAGAACCACCTCGGCCCATGTTCCCTGAGCAGCCAGAAAAGCCCCTTGATCTGGCACATATAGTGTGAGTATCTATTTTAATCCAATTTTCACTTAATCAGTGATACAAAGTAAGGTGTTTGTGGCTGGATTTGACTTTGGAGTGGGCTAGCAGGAAGGAGGCCTTTGATTATAATCATAAAGTTGCAGTGTTATAAGTGTTTCTCTGAAAAATTATTTGAAATGTATTGTTTTGTTAAGAATATCTTTTTAGTACAGATTGTTAACTTGCAGTTAAAGCCTGACTGTATATTCTACTCATATCAATTAGCATTTCATAGCACTAGTCAGTCTTACCTTTTGCACATCACCATACTGGATCAGAATCTCTTTTCTCATTGATTGTAGATTAAAATTATATAAACAAAACTATGTTAAACATATTTACTTGCAAGTTAATGTTGCCTAATGTTTGTAGTAGTGGGATTTAGCTTGCTGCTGCTGCCTGGGAGCATTGGTTTTACATTTTGGTTTGTGTCTATGAGAGGTTTGCTGTCTTGTTCTGCTCAATGGTGTTATTGTTACTCTTCCATTCTGACCTCATCGAACTGATGTAATGATTTTAACAGAATACAGTTGTCCTGGTGTTGATTTGAACAGACTTGAAATCAGTCCACTTCCCCCATTTACCAGTTTTGGCATCAGAAGTAAAACCTGAGACAGTAAAAAAAACCTAGACAAATTCTGCTATTTTATGTGTGTAATAAATACAGCCTCCAAATCTGGCTTATGTCCTACAGAGTCTTCAGACTTTTCGTAATTTAAGCACAGTGTCTAGAGAAGGGAAAAGAGCAAAGCAAAGGGTTATAATTTCTGTGAAATGGAGGGTTCCCATTTTCCTGAGTATTTGAGTAATTTGCAGGTCTGAGACTAAGTGGAATCGGTGCTCTTCTGGTTTTATTTTTACATCAAAAATACCTAATTCTTCATGGACTATTTTCTCTGTCACAATTTCTGAATGGAGATCCAAGGTATTAAAATCTGAATGTATATAACCCCTGACAGCTCAATATCAGAACATGCTGCTTGGCCTCTTCTAAGGCTGTATGATTTTGATTGACTGGCTCTTCTACACACTCCTTTTAACAGTTGCGGCAGTCATTAAGACAAGCTGGAGGCCAGCTTGGCAAAATATTGGAAAGGTGAGAAGTGTCAAGCTTATTGTAGCGTGGTAACACACTTGTGTGGCATAGAAGATCCAGAACTTGATGTGGAAGAGTAGTTACAATGCTGAACTCCTTAACAACATAGCTTTGAGCTTTACCAATTTCTGCTTAGATTTGTGGTTGTTTCTTCCAGTTCCTGCATCACTGAATATTTACCAACTTCTATAATGCTTGCTTTAGTTCTGTGCAGTGAGGGGAGCTGATCTGATTTAATGGAATATAATTGTTCTTATTTTCTCTGTGAAATTGCACTCAAAATCAACAACAAAGTACTGTTCAATTCAGAGCTGAAGTCTCTGTCCTTCTAAACAAATGGCTTATCAGACCCAGAAGGACAAGGTTGTACATTGTCCACAGAATGAGCTACATGCCTTGACCAGGATCTGTTGTGGAGCTTGTCACAGAGCTTTAAATCTTGATTATCTGTTGCAAGGGTGCAGCTCAGCACCAGACAAAACAATTCTGTGCTTAAAACCTTTATCAGATCACAAATCCATTCACTTTTTTCTTTTTAGATTTTTCTTTGTGCTGTTTGCATGTTGAAATGCACTAACATTAACTAAATTAAATTACTAGTTAACAATGCAATACTTCTGTAAAAAATGAAAGAATATGTAGTTGCCTAAGTGCAGTGTATGAAAATAACACCAGCAGTGGTGTAGTGACTGCCTGGGTGAAGGAGGGCTGCAGAAGCTGAGACAGCTTTATTTCTGACACAGGTTACCAAGCTTGAGGAATTACTTATTTCTTTTGCTAGGACTCATTGATTTCTTAACAGATCAAACAACCATAAGCCCTTAGCTAGACAAGGAATGGTCAAGGCAGAAGTGGGTGGCTCACTTCTGTGGTTTGTATTTTTAATATGTGACCTGTTGGACATGTGGGGCAGGAGGATGTACAGCATGATACCTTCTGCAGTGGCTGAGACCACTGCCAGGCACTCTTGGCAGCAGCAAGGCAGCTTGGAGACATCTGCTCTGTGCTGCCAGCTTTAGTTAAAAAAAAAAAAAAGTGTCCTAAGAAGCCCAAGTTTTGGGAGATAGTGCCTGATGCTACACAGATGGCTGTGGGAGCAACAGATAATGGCCTGCTGTAAAAATAATGTAAGGCAGTGGTTCATGTCAAACACTAAATCACATGAAAATAAAAAGAAAATGGGACTAAAAAGACCTACTGAATTTTTTTGTAGAAGAGATCCAAGACCTTTGGAGTTTTCTGTATAAGTGATACCACTGAAATAAAAAAAAAAAAAAGCCCCCTATCCCCCACAGATTTTAAGTGTGAAAAGTGACATAGCCAGCAGAGATTCTTTGATAGAACTCAGCTTGTAAAGAGGAATTGCTTAGGGCCACATTGAGTCATTATTTAGGTGTCAGTGATCAGGGCTTGATTATATTTTTCTTCTGGTAAACAAGGTGCACATCAGCATCTAAGAAATGCTTCAGAGGAGACTGTCTCACAAAGCTAAAATCAACTTCAGCTGAGTAAATAATGTGACATAAAAATAATAACAACTAGGAGCAGTTTAAGACTACTTGGCTAAATGTTCCAGGGAAAAGAAGGCTTGGAAGAGAAGTAAATACAGATACCCTTGTCAAGGGAAGGAGAAAAGACAAAATTGGCAGCAAATAATGTAAGCTAATGATTTAAAAGTTATTGGAGAAGAGTTTTCAGGTTGTGGTTTGGCAGGAGAGCAGCTGTTGTGCAATCTGCTGCTGGTGAGATGCTTACCTTCCAGAGGCAATCCAAAAGGACGTTGAATTGCACTGCCTACCTTTTCAGTCCACATTGTATTTTGAAAGAATTTCTTAGTTTGGATACTTGCTGCTGGTTGTTGATATATCTTGGAGCACTGGAAAGTTCCCAGAGCACTGGAAGAAAATTCATATGATCTAATTTATTTTTTTCAAGGTGGTGGTAGGGCAGGGGATGGAGTCAAATAGGGCAATCTCTGACATGTTTACTAACATGACTTTGATGGTGAATAAAATAATTAAGCAGATAAGATATGCTGCAGATCAGTAAATAAAAAAGGTAACTCATGCCAATCCAGATTTTGGCAATTTGGTGTAGTCAGTCTCAGTTTGTATCTTTTTTTATTAGATTAATTTTGATTAGTAAAGTGATATTGTTGGCATGATGCATTTATTATGAGCATTGCACAATTTAGAAAACAATAATAAATAGAACACATATGCAGCAGATTGGGGGAAAAAATTGTTTAGCTCATCCTCAATCCAACTGCCAAAGCCAGGTTGCTGGACAGGGTGTGTTTTCAAGCGGAGTCCTGCAGGAATCAAGCCCAGCTTCCCTGCTAGAAGTGTTTGCTTTCAGGAAAATGGTACAAAGTCAGTAGCTGTAGGCTGGATGAGAGCAATGTTGAAGGAATGAAGAAGACAAAAAGGACAGTATGTTGGGAACAGTGACTTGAAAAATGTTTGGAGGTCATGGGATGCAATTGGTTGAATATTCATTTTTGGTGGTTTTGTAACCAAGGACACTAATGGGATCTGAAGGTGCAAATGGGGGAGTTTGTGCTTGGTGGTGGCAAGTTCCTCCTCAGAAAACTCTATTTACAGCATCCACAATCAAGGCATGTCAAAGGACCAAAGTGTCTGAGAAAGTAAATGAAAACTGGTAAAGTAGTGGAAGTAGAAGTGGGAAGTTGCCTAGCTTTGCATCCAGAGACTCAAGTGATCTAAGTACAACACGTAGAGGTTAAGGAAAAAATTGGTATTTCTAAAAATAACTATCTTAGGTAAACTGAATACAATCCCAGGGAACTTTAACAAAAGGCTTAACAAAAGACACAGTCCATTCAGAATAAAAAATATATTTTTAATAGTGAATGCAAATAAATAATTATTAGGGTAGATCACCAAAATCAAAAGTGGTGGTGGAATTTTTGCTGCCAAAACTTTAAAACCAAGAGAAGAGTGTTTTTAAATCAAATAAGAATTCTAGTCAGTCTTATGTTCTGCTGTGTTTGACAGCAGCTCAATGATTACAGCATTTCCTTATAGCCTTATGAGAGATAAAAAACACGCACAGAAATTTTCACTTAGTCTCAGAGTCAGGAATATTACAGAATCCACTGCTGCAGCATCATAAATATGCTCCATCGGGCAATTATGGATTTGCTTTACTTACATTTCCAAAAATAAGTGTGTGTTTCTGAAACTGCCTCTCCCTCAACCTGCGTTCCTGCAGCCGTGTCGGGTCAGTAATATAAAAATGGAAATTCTGCTATTTTCCTGCTATTTTGATGCATTCTGCTTCTCTTCCCCTTCTCTCTCTCCCTGCGTCCTCCCCCACATTGTAAGCTGTGCCTAGGTGGGAGTTTCCTGGCTGCTGCAGAGCCATTCTGCATGAATCATACCCTTTTTTTGGTGTTGGTTTTCTGGATATGAATGCTGGAACACACAGGCTCCAAAGGCTTCCCCCCTTTTTGTAAGGAATTACAATCTACATCATGGAGAAAAAAAAATGAATAGGCATTTAAAAACCTTTAGTTTATATTTGATAAAGGAGAGGTTGTATTTGAAATAAGATAAATATTTTGGTGTTTTCCTTCACTGCGCTGTCATTTCAGGCTGTTCATTTTTCCCCTGTCTCTGAAGCCATCAAATGCAAACCCCTCCCATCAGAGCCTTTATTCTAAGGTGTCATCTGAGATGGATCCTTTCAGGGACACAACCCTGTTGCCCAGGATGTGAAAAATTACCGTTCTTAACCAAAATGAGGATTCTTAACCAGCAGTAGCTAAGGCTGCTGGTCACATCCTGCAGCAGAGGTGACAGCGCCGGGCGGTCCTGGTGCTGGTGACAGATGGGCTGCGTCACGCTCGGCTGTAGCAGCC